TGAAATGCTGAACGCATGTCACCCGGCGTTATTGCGCGCAAATTATGTTTACGTTTTCATTTTGATTATTGCATTACACGTTTGTGAGTCTTCCAATACGTTGCTACTCTCCTGTATGTGCCCAGACTCCCTACAGTTATATTGACCAGCGCGTGCGACCACAAGCATTATCATGTCATCTACTGTTTATAATAAGGTCGCCTAGCAACCAGGAGTTCTGCTGCTTGGCTGACCAGGAATTTATCCGTGTTTACGAACGACCGGACGTCGCAAATGATGTTTTCTATTGTCTACAACTATACCAGCCAGCAAGTCTATGTGACGAGTATGCCTGTAATCTATAGCCGTTGGTTTAGTTTGGCCAGCCACACATGCACGAACGTACGCACGAACGCACGCACGCACTCACGCACGCACGCACGCAAGCACAAGTATCACGCGTATGGTCACGCACAGATTTAACAATATCATACGGTAATATACACGTGAATATATGCTCATATATTGGTGTATATTTTCCACCTGGTTTCCCAGCCCAACGAGCTCAAAAATCATACATGTTTGACTTTAATTTTCTTTTTTGACTCGGTATCTATTATATGGTGTGGATTCAGGGCCGTAGGCTAAGCAAATTCCTGGGGGGGGGCAAAATTTCATGACTCAACTGTGTAATGATGAGCGACGGGCGCAGCTCTTGATCGACGTCCATAGTGTCGTAGGGGTGGGTCTGAGACGAGGCTTTCACGGATAAGTGACCAAAAAAATCACGTTAGGGTTATTTACGATTATTAGCTAAGCTTATTTTTTAATTTTGCTCCAAAATCTAGGGGGCAGCTGCCCCTCTTGCCCCCAGAGGCTACGGCCCTGGGATGTGAACGAACCCGTGGGCCCGTGGCCACACAGGGTTATGAGAATGAATGGTTATAGTTGCAGCATTTGAAGTCTCTATCATCGCGCCCGATTATTAAAGACCCGTGGCTATCCAGAGTTATGTGTAGACTAACTGCGTCATTCATTGTGAATCCACGCACGACTTGACAGACCAGGACGTATAACCCAATAGCTAACTTGTCCTGAACGGACGGCAGTCGGGGACCACAGGCAGGCAATCAGACTAAGCTCTGCGTTTATTATTTGCAGCATTTGGAGCCTCTATCATCAGCTACCGAGGAGAGGTGCGTGTCGGCGTGCGCTGCGACACCGCCGTGCTCGATAACCCCGCGTTCGTCTGCGACAAATTCCTCAAACACTTCGGCCATCTTGTCGAACAAGCAAAAGCCATGGCGTAACGACAAGGCTGGTACTAACGACACAACATCTACATGTAGCCGATTGTCGGACAGCCAGGAAATCTACAGTGAAGACGCCCGTGTGTATGTGTATGTAAAGGCTCAGTCACACATTCAGGATTTTTACTGCCGTCCTTGATAGGACCATTCCCGATTAAAATTTGTCAAAAGTCTGATCAAGATCCTGTGATTCGTGGCGGGAAATTCAAACTTTATTAAAAATGTGTAAAAACATTTATTTAATCACGACAACAATCAGATATTGTTCAGGAAGCGTCCCGATTCAGCCGTTTTCAGCCGAATTCGTCCCGATTCTCCAGTTCTCAATCCGATTCTGATGCGATTTGTATCTTTCGCATGGTAAAAAACGACCAAATCTGTCCGGACAGCGTCCCGATTCTCCCGAATGCGATCCGACAGAGATCAGACAGTGAACCGACAGTGAACCGACGCTGACGGAAGACATCCGTCAGATCTGGACGCAATCTGGACTCAATCGGCAAGAAACGGCAATGAAAAATTTCTCCAGATCATGCCCGTTCATCACGACAGCGTCCCGATCCACAGGACACCGTCCAGACACCGTCCAGACAACACAGGACATTTGATACGATTTTGATCCGATACAGCAGAATCTGTCACGACATAGTCACGATTGTAATCCGACTAGACACAATCGGCTGAGTTTCCCGAATGTTACGGGACGCACCTAACTGTCGGGAGTGCTTGGCCGACCTCTCCGGACCATTCCCGATCCGTAGGACTCTGTTACGAACGTATATACGACTGCGTTCAGACAATGATAGGACATTCCAGATCATTGAGGATAGTAATCCGACTTTTTCACTTTTCGTGTCGTAGCGCTGTCTGATCTCAAACGGGAGCCATAATCGGCACTGTGTGAACGCCGCATTAAGAACAAAACATGTACAACCGATTTGAGATATTTGGCCTATATTATATGACCAGTATGAGTATATATTGTTAATCAAAATATATAGGTACAATTAAACAATATTCTTATATTGGTTTTAATCTATCTTCACAGTTAACTAAGAGAACATAAAATAAACTGAAAGCAGTCAACAGAATAACTAGTCGAGCACCAACTATCAGGAAGAACACAACTTTTCTCACAAATAGATACACGAGATTCACGGTCAAATATTCTGTGCTTTAATGTAACGAGTGAATTCACATCGGGTGATTGGATCGTGATTGGACACACGAGGGGTTGGGACGATTGACTTATACTGAACACAGGCTGCAGTATTAATGCAATTTACGGTGACTGAGAGTAAAAACACAATTAGGAAAAATTTAGATTATAATGTAGTTTAATTTATCATGAACCAATGTATGTGCACGTTTGCATATAGCTATACCACATGCGCACGCGCACGCGCGCACATACACAAATATATATATATATATATATATACGTGTGTGTTGTGCATCTGTGCGTGCCTGCCTGTGGGCGTGCGTGTATACATAGAATCAGGAGTGAATGACATAATGTAATTTGTTATTATTGACCCCTGATAGAATAGTGCATGCTTTTACCTACAGACGGATTCATAATAGGATCAAGAGTATTGCAGGCCATTAGAACCTTTGCACCAGTTTAGTGTCACCTGGCTTTAACAACAAGATTAACAATGGACTTGTAATAAATCCTCGTCACTTACATTTCTATTTGACAATAAACTGATAGATGTGTTCTAATGTTCCTTACAATCATACCCATCCTGGTAGTGGCCAATACTGCCCGTGTTATTATGAATACACACATTGCTACACCGGATGGATTATACAGATAAATCCTGCAATGGTACTATGATGTGGTATCGTAAATAATATGAAACCGGTGGAATCATATTGAAACAAATCACAGTTAAAAACGGCAATGCAACAGTTCAGAACTGAAAACAAATCATATCGAAGATACCGGCTTTGAATATAATCGAATTGGTGCTTTAGATAAACAATAATCAATGCCAATACCTCTTCTGGCTCGCTAGAGATATTACAATAAAAACAAGGTTTTTACGCCCCTGGAAATTTCAAGGTTTGTTCAACAAATTCAACGAACGGACAGATTGCAAGAACGCACTTCATCGAAATGTGTAACATTTCCACCCAAGAGAATAGGTATTCAACTAACAATTAAGCTCTAAACATATCACAGAGAACAACGGTCATACCATTCTACGTTTTCGCACCTGGAGGGATCAAAAATCTTTTACGATGCATTTTAGGGTTTGGTATAATTAATATAATAACAGCAGAATAGCTTCTAATGCACTCCTGATAACAGTGATGAGAGAGATTCGAGTGAGATCCGGACATATGGACCTGGTTTATGACAAAACCCTTCAATATAATATGAGATTCTATAAATCGTTAGTCAATCGTAATTTCAGCAGAAAAAGATCATAAGTGACTTGCTCTATATGTTCACTATATGTAGAGCTACATATCCAACCATAGAATATAAAATTTGCATTTTACGTGAAGCCGGCTGGTATACTTCAGTAAATTTGCATAAAAAAGCCACAACATTGTTTAAATGCATTTCATTGGCAGCGCATTACGAACCAAGTGCTTAGTTGATCATCTATCTATACATGTATGTAAAACTATGCTGGATGGACTTCTAGTTAAAATTATCATCGGTTATGACTGATGAACCTGAGGATTTCTAGGGAATGCCTTCAGTTGTATAACCAACCTTTCGCTTTATTTATGCTACAAGTTAATGGCTGAGCTTCTGATAAAATACTAGAGCCGACTTGAGCACCATGCCTACTCCCGTGAGACGATTACACTTGTTACAACTGTTTTTATTTGCCTCGTAGGTATAACTACAACTACAACACAACACAACTACAACTACAACTACAACTACAACAACAACAACAACTACAACTACAACTACAACACAACAACAACAACAACTACAACTACAACTACAACTATGTATATATATATTAAATATATATATATATATATATATATATATATATGTAAGCTAGAAGAGCCTGTATTATGCAAATTCATTCGTCCAGAATATAAGATTTATGAATTTTGATGAGTAAATCAGTTATTCTGTGGGGAAATTCTATTGATTGTTTTTTGTTACTAAAGGTCATATTAATATAAGATTGAAGATTATTTGATAGTTATATTATGGTTAGATTCATATATATATAATGCGTTCATTTCAGTTGTGACTACT